AAATCCTTACCAGCCAATTTAATTGACCAAAACAAGGGAATGAGAAGAACCCAACTACCAAAATTCAATCAATTCAACTCCCAATTGCATCAAGTATCACACTTGCTTTCGGCTGTATTGCTGTATAATGCGTGGTTTATCTAAGTCTTATTCCAACTATCTGATCATTACATGAACCATTGGTTTTATTTTTGTATTAAATCATTCAATACTGCTTCAACCATTATAGGTCCGCTAATGTACAATATGGATCTGTTATTTTATTTATTTTTGTTATGTGATCCAGTTGTATAGACATCATCCTAATCATTTAAGCCTGGATCCTGTTTTGCCATTGGGTTAAAATCATGAGAGTTTGGCAAATAAGACAAGTTCATATCGGCAGAGTTTAGTTATGTAGATATAATATAGAAAAAAAAAAAAAAATTGTGTAGAATGAAGAATCGATGACCGAAAGTCTTAAGTTTTCATAATGTCGTGTCCCAGTTAACCATCCAATTCAATAATCTATATCTGTTTTGGGTCCCATGAAAGTGATCTTTTTTATTTCTACAATGTGGATCTGCTCAGTAGCAGTAACACACTAACACTGCCCCTCTCTATCTATTAATAGTAAAATATAGATTAATTTGAAGGGGTCCCATTCTATGATTTCTGTCTTTGAAACTTCAGTCACCACCATTTTCATAGCCTAGAAAAGAACATATATTTATATTCTTCTTGAGGGTGGAGGTGGGCAAGGTGCCAGCAGCCTCTTAGCTGCAAGCTGTTTAGTCCTCCAATTAGACGTAAATCCTTGAGAGAGAGAGAGAGAGAACGTGACACATGTTGTTTATGTTGATTGAAGAAGACAAGATTCAATTGGATTCATTTGAATTGCAGAGAACAACACGTAAGGTCATAAATGTTCAGCTAATGTTAGATGTTGAAGGGAGAGGAGGTGTTCTTCCTTTTTAGCCTCCCCAAACCGCAAACCCCCCTAAGAAAAAGGAGTTTTATCTTGTTTTAAGGATGAGTCTGCCACATCTACACCATGTGGCTCTTGATTCGCGGCCGCCATATCCAAACTTTCCAAATGTTTTTTTTTTCTTTTGTTCTGGTTGGGGCCCAAATGATCCATGGCAACAGTGTTGAGTGTCTCTTATTATGCGTCGAGAATATATATCCCTTCTTTCTCATGCCCATTTCTCCTTTATCCCTTCTTTCTCTTCCTGTATTTTATGAATTCTCGATTAGGTGGGTCTTTCTATTTTTTTTAATCAAAATCCATTGGGTTTGATTGGTCGAAGTCTTTCTGGTATTGTATTTTTTTTTTTTCGCAATATACATTTCCTATTTCTATTAGTAAGAATTTTGTCATACTAAGACATCAATTGTCTGGGTGGTGTAGTTGGTTATCACGCTAGTCTCACACACTAGAGGTCCCCGGTTCGAACCCGGGCTCAGACAATTTTCTTTTGTCTTTTTATTTAACTCTTTTTACATATTCACGTGAGGCTTGAACATAAACGGTGTAATGTGTTGTTTTGGCCTGAAATGTGAAGCTCCTATCTCCCCCACTGACGGACACTCCGTCTGGGCGTCTCATCTCTTATGTTTCAAAAGGCAGCCAGCAACCGTATAAGAAACAAATAACATGAGCCCAACACACTTGAAAAGTTCGAATGAGGGGTCTTCTCTGGAAGTGTACACAGCCTTATATTAAACATACTTATTTTCATATTATTAAAATATAATACAAAATTATATGCCACTTACAACTACAACTTATAATTTTGTAATGTGTTTATTTAATATCCATACAAAATTGATCTACAGTATGTTTGACATTCAGGTTCATAATAAACTATTTAATTTTGAATGCATTATATGCATATTTACTTTGTAATGGTGGGTTCATGGGTTCATCTGTTCATTTCCGATATGTTGATTTATACAAACTATTAATGTATGTTTCTCTTATAAATTCATAACAAATTGAGCTGTGAAATTAATGTAATTGATGTATGTTTTCATTTAGATTTATATGGGTTTTACTAATTGTTACCATATTCATGCCTATCCAATGATAATCCTGGTATTTCCCAAGTATATCTTGACACATATCTTAACTTTGAACCTCACCAATGTCACGGAAGTGGCTGACAAGACATAACCCATCACTCTGCATATAATATAAAGCATTACTCATATTGTCTAGTGATGAGAGATTCCTCAGACACTAGAATTCTTCTGTTTCCTCTTCTCTTTTTCATAGCTTGCATATAACAGACGGGAAAAAAACAGGTATCCTGTACTTGATTCATGTACTGGCTACTACAAAAAAAAGATTCATGTACTGGAAACATGATGGAAATCATCCTCTTTTAATAAAAAAAAAATGACCAAAGTTTGATGGTGCACTTTCAACCAATAACATGTGTTTTGAATGAATTTCTGTGTATGCAACTGCCCTTTTGAACTGCCTAAAAAGTTTGCTCGAAAAAGATAAAGGAAAGGAAAACAGAGACCAATACCAAATACTACAGAGTGTTTTGGTTGAAAAAAAGAAATGGTTGGTGAAGGGGGATTCTACCTGGATGACAGAGAGAGAATGCCCGTCACAAACGGCAATGGATCAATTATTATAACACCAACCACTTTGCCCCCAATTTCTTAATTTTTCTCATAATCAATCAACTGCCCTCTGTTACAGTTGTTGAATTCAAGATTTCCCCATATTTATATTTAGGCAGTAGGCCCAAGTCAATGATGTAAAGGGCTTTTATTCTATTAAAATATCACCACATCTAAAGCGGATTCATTTCAGTTTGGATCAAATTGAGGAAGAGGTCTGCGACTCCACTCTTCAGCTGGGATAAAACTCGTAGTCACATAATAGCTTGCATTTGTAAGTTTCTGGGTTACAACCCAAAATGTAATGGTTAGAAAGAGAGTAGAGACGATTACGTAAAGTCAATTAGATGGTCCTCCATTTTATGCCTATCCCATTTTTAAATAAATTGAAATACATCAATTACAGAAATCTCTCACGAACCAATACACATCGCAATGAGAGAGATTATGAAGAATTAGACACCCGTAGGGTGTTGTCATTCTCTTCCAATTCAAGATTCGTTGAGAGTGCGGGCCCCCCCCACATCAGTGGATGGTGGATGATGAGATGGGTCTTCGCCAATTTTGAGTCCCTACACTTCCTATTAGGGGCTCCCGGTCTTGAAAGGGAGAAAGTTAGCCAATAGGATTTATGTGAAATCTAAACTAACGTTTTCACTTAAGGAAAAATTGTCATATTTGAATAGGACAAAATTATCCCTTTTAATAATGATTTTTTTTTATTCTTCTTTTAATAATGACTTTGTGTGACTAAAACAGTTATTATCCTATTTACTTAAAAAATAAAAGAAAATAAATAAATACACTAGTCTGGATAAATATTTTTTAAGAAAATCTTAACCGGATAAATGCACTTACCTCGATAAATAACTTCCTAAAACATGAACTGGGCCTAAAGGTAATAAAGACGAGATGGAAAACTGAATAGATTTTTTAAATTGAGAAAATATGTAAATTATGAATAAAGGATGGGATACAATTCTCATTCATCTACTGCTTTAACTTTCTTTGAGGTGGTTTTGGGGACCAGAAGAGCAAGGACCACATGATGGATTTGATCAAATATTAAGAGTGCCTTTTTTGAGTGTTGATGCTATTGACATTAAAAGCACTGTTTGCTAACTGCTATCACTAATCGCGTTCATTAATTATCAAAGTCTCCATCATCTACCAAAACAACGAAAACTCTAACGAAGTCTCCATCCACCCCTACATGTGACATGTAGAGGCTGCTAATCCAGTCCCTATGGACATCCAAAAACTCTTAAAAACTTGTCTTTTCATTAATTGTATAATGTCAAACATTAAACACAGTGGTTGTATTATTATCGGTTTGGTTTTGCCTAACTCATGTTTCTTAAGCGACCTCCTAACTAATTTCTTTCCCTCCTTAATTGTCACAGTTTCCTATTTCATTAATGCGTAGATACATCTTCCTAATCCTTGTTTTTTTTCCAGCACAACATGATTGACAGTAGAACCACTACACATGATTAACTCAACCACCGCCACCTCCAAATTCTCCAGGATCCAAATCCATATCTCACTACCCAAATTCTTTGTTTCCTTTGCAAATCCATCCCAAGTTTTTGACGTCCAATTGTTTCACAATTTTACTTCATACATGCATGACCCATCCATGCCAACCACTCCACTCGAACTCATAAATTGCTTCTTTTTTTTTTTCTTTCCACACTTTTATTAAAGTTTGAAGCTTCCAACTCCTAATCGTTTTCCTTTTTATTTCTTTCTGGGTTCAGTTGGGACCCAACTAATGCTTTCAGCTTTCAGGGGTCAATGCCATAACCACTAGGGCAACAGCCAACCTCCGACCCCCACAGAACAATTGACCAAACCCATAATTCCCCCAGTTTATGGCACCTTTTGCCCCTCTGGTAATGGTAATTAGCTGGGGTCCGATCCATGACATCATGGCGGCATTGGATTTCAACCAACTCAATCATGGGTCCATGGCCTCAGCGTCCCTGCCAACATCCTGGATTTGGACTTTCCATGGAATGGGGCCCAATTCCATGTTTACGTGATTCCCTTTTAATTATGCTTTCAATTCAAGCTTTTCTTTATTAGATCCATGAGCAATGGTCATCACTGAAGTGTGTGTGATCATTGAACACATCCAGACCTAAAACCAATTCAAGCTCTACCAGAAATAATTATTAAGACGGAGGATGAGGATGCCGCCTCAGCTAATCTGGTGGGACCCTAGTGTTCCCTGCCTGCCACATCAGAACATGACCTCCCATTGCTGTCATCGGGTATGCAGCCGTTACACGTTAGATCAGCACCACTTTATTAATGTTGCAACGGACGATAAAAAAAAAAAAAAAAAAAAAAAAAAAAAAAAAAAAAAGAGAAAAGGAGACTTATCTATCCTCGTCAGGAATGAGTGGTTCCTTATCCTTGTTAGTTGTTACGTGATGGATTTGCCACAAATTCAACATAGCTCTCTCCTTCAGTCTAGATGAAGACCATATCCAAACTCCTTGGTTTGCTTGGACCAGCATGATCCATGGCAACAGTCTCTAGTATGAGCAAGGTTTTGCTGACGTGTTGATTCTATTTGAGTTGGTTATCCATATTTCATCATGTAATGGTATAGTTCTAATACTGATCCAGTTGCCTTGTCTGTTCAATCCAAATTGTAGACATCATCCATATAAATGATAAATCCATTAGTGAGAGAAACGGACCTAAATTATGGTGGTTCCTAATGAGCACCGATGCAACACTGGCATCCTTATCCATTCAGAAAGAGGTGTTAGGAACCTGTCATTGATTAGAGATGTTTACCTTGTGATCAAGTGCTGAAAACAGACAATTCTTCCTTAATTAGTCCAGCAAAGAATGTGACTGAAATTGCTTACAGCACTTCAATTTACATGGAAGTCAGAAAAAGATTTCACATTGATTATTTTGATATGAAGATTGCTTAGAACAATTTACAAAGAAGTGGTTGACAGTCACAAGCCCACATTTCATACTGATTAAATACATTTATGGAGCTGAGGTTTTTAGTCAATCGGACTTCTTTGAAAGCTCATAAAACGAGCCTATACCTATTTCTTACCATTTCTTAATCTCTTTGTGGGAGAACCGTAGATTTCCTTTTTTCTTGATGACAGCCAAAATGGGGTTGCTTTTAGGCCCATCATGTCATAGAGAACACAACTAGACCTTGCCTTACTTTTCATTAGACTTATACATGTCTTGTTCACAGTAACGGCCAATTTGAAGCTGTTGCTTAGAGAAACCATCTCAATTTTAGAAAAATAAAATCTGCTTTTGCTCTATAAACTGTTGGATCAAGAGGAAGAGTGTAATGCTCATAAACACTGGGATATGATGTTATGTAGATTCCAGTTTGCTTCAAGCATTCACCTGAACTATGTCTCATATCCTACATAGCACCCGCAGAACTCAATAATTTCTGAAAAGTATAGAACTCTTAATACGTTGTGTGGTTACTGAGGCCATAAAAAGAAACAATGCTATACACACAATGGTTTTTTGCATCTTTGGTAATGGCGATGCCTATGGCAGTCTCCACTAACTCTCTCACATGGTACCTTACCACCTTAAATTGTATGGACCTAATGGCTTTCATTGAGTAATTGAAGTGTTTAATTTGTTCAGACAGCATAAGAAATAACCCAATGAAGTGTTTCATTGAGTAATTTCATAGATGCATGTAGCCATGTAGGTTTCCTTCATCTGTGGAGAAACTGCCCATGTAAACATAACCCAAAGATTCTTTGAATGAACTGAATAGTAGACATTCACTTATTTGAGAACGTGGAGCATTTCTTCTTTCAACTATTAGACATGAAGACCAAGGTTAGTCTACACTTTCTGGCAAGCACACCATCACCTCTATACTTCTGAGACATCTTGCGAAAGAAGATCCTGTAGAGGTAAATAAGCACTGAACCATAGACCAAACTTAAGAAATGGGCATCTAAATGGAAGGTCTACTCATTCTGATTTCTGATCACAACCAAATATACACCCAAAATCTTCAAATATAGCTTATCATGGCCAAATATTTTGATGCTGAAAACCCTTAGATTTTTGCTCTTCATTCCCTTCTCTGTTCTCTCCTTTGCAACCGCCTCTGCCACCTCTTCTTAGGAAATGGGGTTTCTCCCCTTCCAAGGCACAGGCTTAGGTTCCCAGTCCTTTCTAACCCCCTCAATTGAAACACCCAGAAACATTGAAAAGAAGTCCCAGTCACTAGTGCTGGAATTTCTAATATGAACAGGGAGCATTTTTTTTATTCTTTTTTTTTTTGGCTGGGGGGTGATGCTTTTACATGAGGGTTGGAAGAAAAAGTGTCATACGGTTCTCACCTTGATTGTCACAGATATTACAATGTTGACAGGCTCAGTGAAGGAGGTCAAAGAATGAAACATGGTCATAGTAGCTGCAGTGGCTCGGTTGTGGACCATTTCAGCAAAGATGGTGATATTCCTGCTAGTTGTTGTTCCGACAAAGACATTAACTGTAAATGCCGACAAGGGAGATGGCAACTAGGAATTTGGGGCAAGAGAATTTCTATCATAAATAGTCATGCAAATTTTCTCATTTAGAAAATGCCATCTAACTTATGAAATTACAAGTCATTTTCTCCAATACATCACCCTTTATGGAATTTCTTTTTGGGATCCCAAGACCTATCATGACAATCACACAATTGTTTGCCTAAGTAATTTCCTTTCCCGGGTTTTCCAGAAAATTGACCAGTTTAAAATACTTGGTCAAATTTCTAAAGATGTCTTTTTAACTTTTCTTGCATAACTCATAAAAAATGATCTTCCATCTATTGCCCAAGACCAATTTTAAATAAGGGAACCAACTAACTATTGGGTAAGTTGGTGTTAGGTGAAACCTCACTGGAATGATAATTGAGTCTTCTAATGGTGCTTGTTACCACTAGTTACTTGTACTGTGCCATGTTCCCACAGCCAGTTGTGTCCCATTAAGTATCTCATAATAACAACTTAAGTACTAGGTTCACAAGTTGGCCAAACCCAACCCAAAAAAGTCGGGTTAGGTTAGGTAAGGGTTGAAAATTATGAACCTGACTTAACACCAGGTTGGGTTACGATTGAGGCCTCAGGCAATCCAATCCAACCTGAACCCAAGATGTCCATTCATATTTGCAGATCATTGTCATCATCACCATCATCGTCTAAGCCTTGTTCCAACCATATGGGATTGGGCCAGTCAGTTACATGAATCCTGTTCGGTCATTCTGTTCTATTTAGTGCTGTATCCATTGTTAAATTATGGCCTATAAAAATCATTTCCCAGTACTTCAACCCTTATCCTTTTTGGTCTGCTCCTAGTTCTTCTAGCCACTTCAACTTGTAGCAGATCACTTCTAACATATTTATAAATAGATATGCATGCATATGTATGTGTATATGCATGTTCATCAACAATTTTAAGTTCAAGTGTTAAGATTTTTTGATGTTAACACAAGTACAATATTCATCAGACACCATGGCTTTGTCTTTACACACATTAATGCTAAAGCTAGGTAACCCTAATCATCTAACCCTAAGTCTAAGAAGTTAATATTTTTTATACAGCAAAATGAAATGAAGAGACTACGACAACCCAAGCCCAACTCAATCCAATGTCATGGGGTTGTGCTTGGGTCAATGTTGCACAGGCACACAGGAGACAGAATTCAATACGTGTCCAAGAGTCTGACTTGGCAAGAATCGCAAGATGAGAAAACATAGATTCCTTTACATGTCTACAGAAAAGTATGTCTCAAGGAATTGTTCAACCTAAAAGCTTAAGCTGTTAGGTGATGTCTCCGAATAGGTTTTTATTCTCTAACATGCCCCCTGACACAAAAGCCTGGGCTTGAAGTGTGCACAAACACAGGCCCGTCCATACCATGTGCTGAAATTCAATTAGTTATAATGGGGGTGACAAGGACTGAACACCAGACCACTTGGTCAAACAGACTCTGATACCATCTCGAGGAGCTGTTCAACCTAAAAGCTTAAGTGTTAGGTAAGGTCCCTGAATAGGTTTTTATTCTCTAATAGTATATACTATTAAAATAGTTCGCATTTTTTGAATTCTAACATTATATACCTGCAAAAAATGCTGCCTTTGTTACTAAGCAACATTTGACATGAAAAATGGCATTCATCTTGAACATTAGCTGTTTGTTTATATCAAATAAGTTAAGAGATGAAAAGGAACTATTACATAGAAGTGTCCTCAAAAATCTGTGGGGTGTTAGACTCCAATGCATGTATGATATGGACCCTACGTCCATTTTTGATGGGTTTTGCCAATGCTTCCTGAACCTTTATGCTTCTGCCAGAATATAATAAGCCTATTGTCTCAAAGTTGACATGTTGATACTTGTCAATGCTGTACTTTTGTTATTGGTTTTGTCAGTGCTATACTTTTCTCTATTGATTCTTGTCCTGAACCTTTATGGCTGTGGCAGAGTATAATAAGCCTAATGTCATGAAAGTTGACATGTTTTTGTTTTGTTCCCCTAGTCTTTTTTTTTTTTCTCTTTGTCAAAATGTTTGATGTGATAATTATTTGACAGGAGACTTGTGTCCTTGACAGATGTTGTATGAGGCCTTTCAAGTGGAACAAAAGAATATAAAATTGAAAAGTGCCCACTACTATCAGGTTATCCTTGATACAAGCATCACTTTCTGCCTAAAACTGAAGATAAAAATCTGCAGTTATACATGTTTTAATGAAGTAATCTTAGTAATTTTGGCAAGGGTAATTTTGTAATGCATTGAAATCCATCTGTGCTGAAACAACAAAATGGGGTTGACAGACATCATCACTCAGTAACCTCCTCCCCTACCAAAAGAAAACAATTAACCTAAACACTATCAATCAATATTTCAGCAGTAAGTCCCCTCCTCTTTCATAAAAGTAATATTTTTGTCTTTTTGAACCATTAACCATGACTTGCCATTGCAAACTCGTTACCTATAATATCTGCAAACTTGTTACCTATAATACCTGGGGCAAGTCTAGGACTTGAATGATGAATATGACAGATCACATGGGGGAGGGGGGTCTCAAAGAAGACCTCTAACATATCTTTTGTACACCGTACAGTCAGTTAAAATGCCCAAAAAAACAATAATCCATGTCACCAGTTATCTATGGACACAGACACCCAAGGAAAAAACTATAAAACAGTTGCAAGGCCAGTTATGTTGTACAGAGCAGTGTTCGGCAGTTAAGAAACAGCAAGTCCAAAAAATGATTGTGGCAGAAATGTAAATGCTTAGATAGTTGAGTGGTAAAACTAGAAAGGACAGAGTTAGAAATGAAGTCATGTAAAGGAACCTAGGAGTAGCTCCACTAGGGTGATAAAACGAGAAAAAGTAGATTGAGATGGATTGGTCATGTGCATAGAACATCTACAGCACCTGTTAGAAAAAGTGATTGGTTACAAATTGAAGGGGATAGAACAGCTGGGGGAAGACCAAAAAGGACTTAGGTGGAAGTAATAAGAAATTATTTAAGCGCCCATAGTCTAACAATGGATATGGCACTGAAGAGAATGCAATGGCGAAACAGGATTCATATAACTGACTCCATATTGTTGGGACATGGCTTAGATGATGATGATGATGACGACACAGATAACCCAAATTTTGAATTTGCCTAATAATTCCATCTTTCCTATAGCTAAAAATTGGACGGGTGGAGCACAATGGGAAAACAAAAAGAGAATTATCTAAATTGGACAGTATGCATTGTTGCTGTTGAGAATCTGAGCTTTTACTCGGAAGCACAAAACTGTAATCATATTTAATAGATAGAAACATGGGACTAACGAAGGAACAGAAAACCAATGGCATAATCCAAGGACTCACAAGATATTTGGGCAAACCAAGTGGGATCTTACATGGTTATAAGATTCATATAAAGCAAAAAAAATCTAGCACACTTATATTCAATATAAGGAAAATTTTGATAAAAAGAATGAGCTAAAAAGGGATCAGCAAACTCCTTATTTTAACTTACCAGTCACTACATGTTTTCCTCTATGATCAATTGGGTAGAAGCACCTGTTAAGAATCCCAGTTTTTGCATTACTTCTTCCAAACGCTTCGCATTAGTCAGGCAAAGATAACCAACCTACAAAATATTACATTATTAGATAATTTCATAAAACCGATATACTGATTCATTCCATATTAAAGGTTTTGTTATCATATGTTCTGATATCCAACCTACTGAAGAAGTTAATAAGATGAAGAGAGAGAGAGAGAGATGCTTTTTTAGTATTGTATTACTGTAAAAGAGGGAAAGGTACCGTCAAGATCTTTACAAAAAGCCATACATGCAAGATGTATCAGTATAACATGTACTAAAACACAGCATATCTTCAGCAAAAATAAATAAACAAATAATGGATAACTAATCATCCTTGAAAGCACCCACATAAAAAGCAGAAAACTGATGCAACACCTAAGCCACCAAATGAGAGTCCATTTGATCTGCCTAACCATCTCCACAGAAGACCTTTTGTTTTGAAAAATCCTACTGTTTTCTTGATATAAAAGGAGGAAAATTGAAAGGAAAAAGGAGGAAAGAGGAGAAGGCAGAAGAGAAGAGAGGAAGTGAGAAAAGTTGATTAGAGAGGCAAAAAATAGGCTGGTGGCGCCAGCCACTGTATTTATATTAGGGCAACATAAAAAATAAAAGTAAAAAATATACAAGTGCCCCTGTGGCACTAGTATACAACAATTAACAGACTTAACACTCCCCCTCAACCTCAAGTTGAGACATAGATGTCAATCATGCCCAACTTGTCACATAAGTTATTGTGCCACAAGTGACGTAGGCCCTTTGTGAAGATATCTTAAACCTGTTATTCAGAAGTTACATTGGGAGTACATACTTCCCCACTAACTAGTTTCTCACTAATAAAGTGTTTGCCCACCTCGATGTGTTTTGTCCCATAATGCAGGACAGGATTGGCTGCAATACTGATGGCAACCTTATTGTCATAAAAAAGAGATATAGGACTGTCAACTACAAATCCCAACTCAGATTTTCTATCCACATATTCTCAGCCACTCCATAGGACATTGCTCTATGTTCAGCTTCAACACTGGTTGGGGTAGATCTATCATCAATAGATCTACCCCAACCAACGTTTGTATATACTTCAACGTTCAAATGCCCATGTTTTTGGAACAACAAGCCAGCCCTTTGAAACTTCTTGAGATACCTAAGGATGCTCTTGGCTGCCTCTAAGTTAGTGGTCTTAGGGACATACATGAACTGGCTAAGGACACCCATGGCATAAGAAATATTGTTTCCTTGGTAAAGATGCAGTATGATCTCAGAATAGTGAGAGAAGAGGAGGGAGAAGAGAGAAGAGAGAAGAGAGAAAAGAAAAATAGTTTGGAGAGAAAAAAGTCAGCCGCGGCGCCAGCCTTTTTAATATTTATACTAGGGCGACCATTCAAAAGATAAAGTAAAGTACAATAACATATGTGTCCTTGCAGCACTAAACTGAAATAAGACTAAGTTATTCAACACTCCCCCTCAAGTTGGGACATAGATATCAATCATGCCCAACTTGTCACATAAGTCATCGTGCCACGAGTGATGTAAGCCTTTTGTACATATATCTGCAAGTTGCTCCTTAGAACTAACATATGGGGTGCACACTTCCCCATTAACAATTTTCTCTCTAATAAAGTGTTTGTCAACCACAATATGTTTAGTTCTATCATGAAGAATTGGGTTGGCTGCAATATTTGATGGCAACCTTGTTATCACAATAAAAGGACATAGAGCTATCAACAGGAAAACCCGGTTCACTCAACAAATTCTTTATCCACATAGCTTCAGCCACCCCATGGGTCATTTCTCTATACTCAGCTTCAGCACTAGACCTAGCCACCACACTTTGTTTCTTGCTAATCCATGTGACTAGATTTCCTCCCACAAAAGAACAAATACCCACTAGTGGACTTTCTGTTATCAACTGATCCAACCCAATCAGCATTTGTATACACTTCAGTCTTAAATTGATCATTCTTTTGGAATAATAAACCAACTCTTGGAAACTTCTTTAGATATCTGAGGATTCTCTCGGCTTCCTCTAAGTGAGTGGTCTTAGGAGCATGCATGAACTGATTAAGAACACCCACTGCATAAGCAATGCCTGGCCTAATCATGGACAAATATAGGAGCCTCCCCACAAGTCTTTGGAATTGTTTTACATCCTTGATAACTTCACCACAGTAGTCACCTAGTTTGTGATTTGGATCAATGGGAGAGTCAGCTGGCTTAACCCCTAATTTTCCTGAACCCTGTAACAGATCTAGGATGTATTTCCTTTGAGAAATGAAGATCCCCTTTTGTGAGCGGGCCACTTCAATTCCAAGGAAATACCCAAGGGAACCTAGATCATTCACCTCAAATTGAGTGGCTAAGAAATCCTTTAGCCTCTGAATTTCAACCTTCCAGTCACAACAAGTAATGCCGATGGAGTTTACAAACAACCCATTACAAAGTCTATTGTATGGGTTTGGAGCCCATTATTAGTTAGCTTTGCTCTTATTTTCTTTGCATTTAGAGCAATAATGGTAACTTGGTAACATTAATTGGTCTGGGGGCCCCACCATTAGAAAAGACAATAAGGTTTAAAACATTGGGTTTGATGTTTTAAAATGCGTGGGTGTGATGCAAGGAATTCCATACCTAGAGGCATGAGGTGTAGTTTAGAACATAAGAGGCATAAGCCTACTGAGTGAGGGTACAACTTTGGCGGACTCGGGTTGGGCTTTTGTCAAAAAATTGAATGGGCCTGCTCTAAAATCCCAAGTTCAAAGCAGTGTAAAATCCCAATTCGGGCCAACCCGAGTTGCATGGACAAGGAGGCATTACCACATTAGCCCCCTCAAGGAGTTCTTGTTTTTTTTTTTTTCTTTCTTTTTGCTTAAAGACGTCTTGTATTAAGAAAATGAGGATACATAATGCTAGCTGAAAGGAGTTCTTAATACATACCCCACTTTCCCTTTCAGCTAGCGTTATGCATTCTCATTCTACTTAATACAAGACATATTTCATCGTAAAGTCTTCTGTGCTTGGGAGGCTACTCCTCTTGCATTTTGAACTGTCTCATGCCTCCACATTTTTAAACATTTATATAACTAGAGATACTCTAAAGTAAACTAATTGAATAAAGTCTTCTATTTGGACAATAACATCAAAATAGTTGGAATACAAAGGATTCATATGTGATCATAGGATGGCTATTGTTATTTCTGTAGCTACAGTAGTCCGAACCAGGAGAAGAGAAGAAGAAGAGAAGATTCATATGATGATGAAGATGAAGAGAACAGTCGAACCAAATAGGTTAAACCCTATCATTCGACCCTTAATATGGATTAACCTCTAATTAGTGGTATAAAGACTAAACTGCCCCCACTTAAGTATGGGACAGGAAGTCTCTATTGAGACTGCCACATAAGCACATAACTTAACAGAAATAAATTGACTAATCTACCCTTATTCGGCTAGTTCTAACACTCCCCCTCAAGCTGGAGAATATATGTCATATAATCCCAGCTTGTTACATATATAGTTCACTCTCCCTAAGCTTAAGCCTTTTGTAAACAAATCTGCCCACT